AGCCATCATTTCTTTGTCAATGGAAAAACATCAGCACATGGAGGAAGCAGAATAAGAGAAACTCTGTTCTTAATTGGCAGAATTATGAATATAGTCATTTTCAGTGTAGTATGATGAAAATGCTTCGAATCTACAAATTCTGGCTCTACATCAAATAAGCATTATGATATCCTAGTCCAAACATTAACTGGAAGAATAATATGCTCAATAGCATCTTCTGAAAGTGTTCTGTGAGTTATCTGATCTGGTTGGACAGAACCAATCATTGAATTTGGAAGAATAATATGCTCAATAGCATCTTCTGGAAGTGTTCTTTGAGTTATCTGATCTGGTTGGACAGAACCAATCATTGAATTTGGAAAAATAATATGCTCAATAGCATCTTCTGGAAGTGTTCTGTGAGTTATCTGATCTGGTTGGACAGAACCAATCATTGAATTTGGAAGAATAATATGCTCAATAGCATCTTCTGGAAGTATTCTGTGAGTTATCTGATCTGGTTGGACAGAACCAATCATTGAATTTGGAAGAATAATGTGCTCAATAGCATCTTCTGGAAGTGTTCTTTGAGTTATCTGATCTGGTTGGACAGAACCAATCATTGAATTTGGAAGAATAATGTGCTCAATAGCATTTTCTGGAAGTGTTCTTTGAGTTATTTGATCTGGTTGGACAGAACCAATCATTGAATTTGGAAGAATAATGTGCTCAATAGCATTTTCTGGAAGTGTTCTTTGAGTTATCTGATCTGGTTGGACAGAACCAATCATTGAATTTGGAAGAATAATGTGCTCAATAGCATCTTCTGGAAGTGTTCTTTGAGTTATCTGATCTGGTTGGACAGAACCAATCATTGTAATTAAAAGATGAAATGCATGATCGTCTTCATTAAGAAGCTTCTTTTCAAGCTTCCTCTGCTTATTCCTTTCTCAAAAATCATAGCCCAAGTTTCACCTTTTCTTGTAATTGGGATCAGTGCATAATGGCTTCCCATCTTTTACCGGAAGAAGTGCGTCAGCATCTTTAGTCATGTGAGCAGCACATATAAAATTTGCCAATTCTGCAATTGATGAATCTGGACCACTTCTCTACATGGCTATTGAAGCTTCAGCCTTTGAGAATCCCATTTTGTCAAGTATAACAGTTTATTCTCCTCATCAGAATCAGAATTCAAGATTTCTCGGTATTAAAAGAATTATCGATATCTGTGAAATCATCTTGAAAGGTCACTTCATAATCAGATGAGTTGTTATCAGAATCAACATGTTGCCTGAATGCAAGCTTTTCAAGAGCTTATACTATTGAGTTTTATTCTAAAGAGGTTTTGTGACATTATATCTACATCTACATTTGTCAAAGATGATAGATTCTCTGATTTGAAGAAGACAGATCTATTGGGTTTTTACAATTGAAGAAATACTCAATTCACCAGTCTGAAATCAAACAACTTAATATTCATGCATCATATTTAGGCATTTGCAAAAATAGATGCATTTTCATTCATTTTTATTCTTGTTGAATTTTTAACAGAAATTTCAAAGATTTTAGCAAAGATTTCGAATCCATTTGATGGATCAGTTTTTGCCAGAGAAGGTTCATAATGAGAAGAACTCATCTGAAGAAGGAAGAAGAAGTTCATAATGAGAAGAATTTGTTCAACCTTTTGTCTGAATTCATCACTTGATGGATTATTTTTTCCAGAGAAAGTTCATAATGAGAAGAACTCATCTGAAGAAGGAAGAAGAAGTTCATAATGAGAAGAATTTGTTCAACCTTTTACCTGAATCCATCATTTGATGGATCAGCCTTTCCAGAGAAAGTTCATAATGAGAAGAACTCATCTGAAGAAGGAAGAAGAAGTTCATAATGAGAAGAATTTGTTCAACCTTTTACCTGAATCCATCATTTGATGGATCATCTTTTCCAGAGAAAGTTCATAATGAGAAGAACTCATCTGAAGAAGGAAGAAGAAGTTCATAATGAGAAGAATTTGTTCAACCTTTTACCTGAATTCATCAATTGATGGATTATCTTTTCCAGAGAAGTTCATAATGAGAAGAACTCATCTGAAGAAGAAAGAAGAAGTTCATAATAAGAAGAACTTGTTCAACTTTTTGCATAATTCTATCACAGAAGGAGATAGATTAGCATCAGCCTTTCTAGAGAAAATTCATAATGAGAAGAACTCATCAAGAGATTATTCAACCTTTTGAATGACTCTATCACAGAAAAAAGGAGGTCATCATCATCCCCAGCAGAAAGTTCATAATGAGAAGAACTCATCTGGAGAGAGAGAAGAATTTATTCAATATCTCCATTATGATCAAAGTAAAGTCAAATGGATAAAAAATTTTATTATCTTTTCATCTTTGCCCTATTCTTGTTAACACAAGAATGAGCAAAGAGGGGCAGCTGAAGATACTAATTTTTTTATCCATATTATTATTATTATTATTATTATTATTATTATTATTATTATTATTATTATTATTATCATTATTATTATTATTATCATTATTATTATTATTAAATATATATTAAATACATATATAAATAATTAATTACAGGCCCAATTACAACTGGACCGGCCCAGTTACAAACAAACCAGAACCGGTCCAGATCAAACCAGAAACCCTAAATATTTGGGGGTTTCAGTTAGGGTTTCCTAAACCATAATCCCAGCCGCCTCATCATCACAGCCGTTGGATCTGAGAGATCCAACGGTCCTCAGATATGCCAGAAGAAACCCTAGGGTATCATTACCCTAGGGCCACGCGACGCCGCCCCAGTTTCTAATCACCGCTGCCGACACTCTTTCGCCGCCTCCGCCGCTGCCACGTTCCAAATGAAGACTCCAGAAGACCAGCTGCCCTCCACACGCCATGGCTACGGGGTGAGTCACCACTGGTAGTCCGGTGACTCACCGAGACCCCCTCTTCGGACCGGTCCGACGGCCACACCGGTGGTGGCTATAAAAGCCACCACCCGAACCTGAAAAAAAAAGGGGAGAAAAACAAAGAAAAAAAAAGATACAGAGAAGCAAGAGACAAAATCGAGAAAAAAATATATATACAAAATACTACCAACGATCTCAGCAGCAAAGAAACAGAAAAGAAAGAAAAAGGAAGGAAAGAAACTTACCGAGGAAGCCTCGACCACCGGATCTCGCCGGAACCTTCGAAACGCCGAAGGTATTTTTGTAGATTCGCTCCGATTCAGAGCTTTTTAAGGGAAAAAAACACCGGGACCGTCCTTAGGACGGTCCGATCTATCTATTAGTGTAAAAATAAATTTTTCCGGCCACCGAATGCGGTGGCCGGCGGTGATATTCACGGCGGCACACGGTTGCCGTCCGGTGACCGGCTTCCCTCCGATGAGGGAAGCTAGAGAGAAGGCAGAGAACATTTTTGTTCTCTCTGTTAGAGAGAGAACAGAGAAAATGAAATGAGAAGCTGGCCCGTAGGGCCAGCCGGTTTGGGTTATAAATACCCTCTCCCAAACGACGTCGTTTCGGGGAGGGTATTTCTGTAATTTCACAAAGGGTAAACCCCGTCCGCCGTCCCCCTAATTTGTAAACATTACATTTTAGTCACTAAATCGATTTTATAATATTTTTAATTCAGTCTTCGAATTTCAATTTTATTCATTTTAGTCCTTTATAATAAAATAATATATTTAGGATAAATAACAGATTTAACCCCTTAATTTTAATAAATAATATTTTAATCCCTAGTTTATATTTTTAATTTATTTTATTATAATATCCGAATTTTAGATAATTTTATTTTAGTCACTAAATTAAAAAAAAAAGAAAATAGCATGTTTAATCCCTGTAATTCTGATTAATTATGAATTAGGTTTTTCAATTTTAATTTTACTATATTTTAGTCATTTATTTTAAGTATTTTTTATTGCTTTTAAGTATATAGTTAGAATTATATTTTTTTATTTGTTTATATATTTAAATATTGTATAAATATATAATAAATAAATATTTATTTTAAATAAATTATTTTAATATTTAATTTTCAATATCAAAGAAAAGGACAGTCTTAAAACAACTGGATGTCCTATTCTGATATTTTAAAATTAAAAATTAAACACTATTATTTAAATTAATATTGATCAATATCGAAGAAAAGAGCTGTCTTAAGGCACCTAGAAGTTCTTTTCTGATATTTTTAAATAAATATTTTTTAATAATAGGATTATAAATCAAATATAATTTTTGAATTTTTTAATTTTAATAATAGAGACAATTTATAATTAAAAAGTACCAATTTTGGGCGTTGTAGGGGTGTTAATCCTTCCCTAAACGTAACCGACCACGAATCCCTTTTTATTATTAAAAAGAACGAATTTTTGGTTGTAAAACGCAGATCAGTTCATTTTTTTTTAAAATTGATGTTTTCTTAAAACTCTTTTTAAAAATAATAATAATAATAATAATTTAGGTATTCGACTTACCTAATCAAAAAAGTCGATGGCGACTCATAAATTATTTTCAAAATTATTTATTCACATCAATTTCCGCCAAAATAAATATTTCGTGCCCGGACGAAAACCGGTTACGACAATAATAATTTTCATTTTTAAATATTAAACACATGATGTGACTTTAATTTTGAAAAGCATAACTCGCCATCGATTAGCCAAATCGAGCTAAAATAATTTGTTGCGAGGGAATTGTTCGGGTACAAGTGTGAATGATACCTCAAATCCAAATTAAAAAAAAAATGGCCAGACCTGATCATGCTATTGTTGACCTTTAATATATGATGGGTGCATATTCTTATATAAGTATATTTGTATACCCCCATTTTTTATATTTTGTTGATCCGATGCATTGTCTCTCGTGCTCTGAATGGTTGATAGAATAAAGGAACCGTCTTGAAAGATGAATTTCTATCAACGTTTTCAAACAAAGCTATAACTCAGTGATTAAATATTATTGTCTTTAACAGTAAAATTATCAACGATGTACAGAGAAGATGAGATACCTGAAGATTGTTGTTGGAGAGGTTTAATTTGCAAATGGTAGTCAAATTGAGAGAAGGTTTTGGAAGAGAATCCATTGACAAGCCACTCAAGTCTACAATATCAAGCCTCTCTTCTTCTTCCATGAATCTTCTACTCCCATCTCCCATTCTCATCATCTGCTGCAGTTCTATCATCATTTTCTAATGTTTACGTTGATAAACCCGACACGACTCTGTAAGGAAAAAAAATCCAAACCTCACACAAAAAGACGGGAGAATATTGGTTTAGATGGTTGTGTTTTGGGTTTTGTTGGTTATAAAAGGGCGTACGGAGGGTGGAGCAAAACACTTGAGCGTTAGGACAAGAGAAGTATTGAAAATAACAAGACGGAGGCATTATGATATTATGGTCGGGCCACCAGATGAAAAGTCAACCCTTACCTTTTGTTTCTCCTCGGCTGCCCTCTAATGTCGCTCTCTGTGCTCATTCATCATTCACCCTTTAGACTAAATCAAATTGGACTTTTTTTTTTTATTATTCTCACCACTTTTTTGTTGGGAAATATACAAGAGAGATCAATGAATTATGTAAACATATTTTTTTTCAACAGTTACTTTTTTATATATATTATAAATGATTATTAAAATTTTAAATGATTACAAAATAATCTCTTATAATATAATAATGATAATAGATTTTAACAAATTTAAAATTTGCTTAGTGAGAGACAAATAAATGCTTTTAATGTTGCCATAGAGGAATATAATCTTCATTACATAGGGTATATAGGTGTTTGGTACACTTGGGAGAGGGGTAAGCGAGCGGAAAACAACATTAGAGAACGTCTGATTAATAGAGGATTGACAAATGATACGGTGGATGGAACTATTTCCTCAGTACTCATTAAAATATCTTGTTTACACGTTTTCGGATCATTGTCCATTGCTATTAAATACCATACCCACGACTAGTTTTACTCGTCGTTGGCATTTTAAGTTTGAAGCTTCCTGGTTGATGGAGAATTCATGTGATGAGGAAGCAACGCGTTTGTGGAACACATCTTGTGGTTTGGTGTCGTAGAAACTAAATTATGTTAGTCATGGTCTGGACAGATGATTCAAAGAGATTTGTCGTTCGAAACGTTTAACCGCTTCTAATTTACAGGAAAAGCTGGTTGCTTTAGTAGAGCTTACTCCTACAGATGAGACTCTGGGCTAGATAGTTGATACGAAACTGAGGTTGAATATGGAGATTGATAAATCGAAGCTTTATTAGGAACAACAGCCTCGAGCAAATTGGTTAAAGAATGGTGATAACAACACGACCTTCTTCCACCGATTTGCGTCTAGTCGAAAGCGTCATAATAGAATTCTTTCCCTTGAAACTATTGATGGAAATTTGGTGGATAATGAGCAGGGCTTAGAGGAGCTTGCCCATAACTATTTTATATCTCTATTCACCTCGTGTAGTTCTGAGACTGATACTAGAATTTTGGAAGAGATTGATGTTTGTGTTACAGAAGAGATGAATCGCTCAATGAACAGACCATTCATAAAGGAAGACGTGGACAGAGCAGTAAAATCGTTAAGTGCACTTAAAGCGTCGGGAGAGGATGGGTTGGGTGCATTATTTTACCAGCGGTTTTGGCATTTAATCGGTTTAGAGGTGACTGATTTCTGCATTGATCTGATTCATGGAAAGGCAGATATGTGCTTGGTAAATCATGCCAATATCGTTCTGATTCTGAAGGTGGCTTCCCTTAAAAAACTTGATCAATTTAGGTCCATAAGTCTATGTAATATGTGTCATAACCATTTTTATAAATAAATTAATTTAAAAATAATTATAACTTTATTTTAGAAAATATGAATTTTCATTTAATTTAAAATTTGGAGTCGCCATCGATCTTTGTGTTTGGTAAATAGAATACCTAAAAATGTCTTTTAAAATAATTTTAAGAAAAATCATTTAAAAAGACAAAATTGACGTGTTTAACCAGAAAATTCATTTTTAAGGATTTGAGAGTCGGATACGCATAGGGAAGAGTACCTCTCAATTATACGTTGTCTAAGTGGTGGAATTTTATATATTCAAACCCAAAATTTAAATTACGATCCATTTATTTCGATGAATTTTAAAAAGTGAGTGAGTCTTTTTAAAAAAAACACTTGACTCGATAAAAAATTAATTAATTCACTTGGTTTTATTTAAAAAGGGTGTTCCCTTACTACGTGGACTAACAGAAATTGAAATCTAATTATGTTGGACGTAATTTCATTAGCTCACGACATGAGACAACATTGCTTTTAATATTAACAAAACAAAAAATAAGTGCATGATTAATGAATGCAATAGTAATAAATGACATATGTAGAATGGATGAAATATTCACATAATATGACAAATGAATAGACTAAATTAACGAAATACTAAAATAAAAAAACCATGAATATTTGTTTTTATTAAAATAATTTCACTATAATAAAAACCTTTATTCAAAATGAAATATATCTTACCTACTTTTTTAAAACCATAGAATATAAATAAATATCGAATAACCATAAAACATTAATTTTATTCGAATTACCCTTAGAAAAAAATGGTTGTCCCTTTTTTCCCATATGTATGGGGTAAGAGGGAGGTAAGATAGTAGGCTGCCCCAACACCAGGTTGAAAACAGCTTCCTTAGGAGACCTCTGAATTATGAAATGCCCTGCGTGGGACTCGATCCCACGACCTCAAGGTTAAGAACCTTGAGCTCTACCAACTGAGCTGGATGATCATTTCTTGTTAGTTGAACAAACAACAAAGAGCCTCATAAAATTTTAAATTACTAAAAAAAGAAATCTTTTGTTAAAAGACAAATAGATATGTAATAAGGGAGGTATACATATAAACAAGTGACATTTTAAAAAGAAAGTATATACATATAGTACTATCTTATATATATATATATATATATATATATATATATATATACAAATAATATTTAATATTTATAAATAAGTTAGAATATTATTTTAGAATGTAAAATATATACATATATTAAAAGTATAGGGACTAGAATGAAACATATAAAAAAGGAACTAAAAAATATAAATTATCCACTAAAAAGAAAGACCAAATCCAACTAAGCAAAGATAATAAGAACTAAACATGCAAATAACCCAAGGATTATATATCGTTAAGTTGAAACAGTATCTAATGTGAGCAGGGATCAAAATGAAACTCAAATAAGATTAAGAGACAAAATCAAAAACTCAAAAAGCCTTGATTTGAGGACTAAATTATATTAAAATTAAAACTATGAAGATCCATTACATAATAAGCCCAAATGACAAAACCACACAATTCATAACATATTTTAAAAGTAAAAAGGCATACTTTAATATAAAAAAATTAAACTTTTTTTTGTTGTTGCTTAAACTAAAACCTAATCCTCTCCCTTTGTAACATCTCCTCTGGCCCCGTTCACTCTCTCAAATCCCATTTTTTCTTTTTTTTTCTTCTTTTATTTTATGGGTGGAGGAGATCCACCACTCCATGGTTCCATGCACGGCCACGAACGGTGGTCGAAACACATACAAGACTATCAGAATGAACGTTCGACAACATAAAGCGTGAAACCAAGCACATTTTTTCTAAAATCAACAACCAAAGACCTAGATCTTGGAATGACACATTACCTTTTTAATAACCTTTCACATTTTCAACAACCACAACAACACCTCCGGCGAGGTTCTCGACCCAGAAAGGTAATCTTTTCCTTTGATTTTCTTTTCTTTTTGTTTTCTTCTTTTTTCGAATGGTTTAGATGATCTCTGCTAGTTCTCCATTTTCCTTCTTTTTATTCCATTCTTATTAAATCTCCTATGGATTTGCTGCATGTTTGTGTGTTTATATGGAAGTCTTGTTTGGTGAGGATTTGGTGAAATGAGGAAACCCATATCTTATTATTCCAAATTTCTTAGGCTTTTTTAAATTTTATTGGGTTTTTGCTTGATTTGATTTGGTTTTATTATGATTGATTTGTCCACTATTGATGCGAGATGATGATATTGAGTAGTTGGGGACGGTAGTGATGGTCATGGGATCGTCGAAAATGGTGGGAGTGGCTCCGATGATGATGGCAGTATAGATGGCTAACCCTAATTTTAGGGTTAATCAAATATGTTAACATGTTGTGCCATTAGGGTTAGGATTGGGCTTTTTTAAGCTTGACATTGTAATTGGGTCGATTAGGTGATGTTATTTGGGATGCGAAAATGTAATTAATAACAATAATAACAACCAGAAGAAAAATGGTATCAACAGTTGTCCCTCTTTGCCAATTGGTGTGAAGAAATGAATAGGGCAAAGAGTACCAGATAACAATTTTTGTTTGGTTGCATCATTTGCTTTGAGAAATTGATGTTGTCTCAAGAGAGATTGAAAATGATCTTTATCTCGAGAGATTTTTTTTTAATTATGTTTCAAGGAAAACATTTTCAAAAGGATTAAATTTTATTCCTTTAAAGGGAATAATATTAGAAGTTGCACTTTCATGAGAAATAAATTTTAAGCAAGACATAACTTGTTTCAAGAGAAACAATGTTGATGCTTTGTGTTCCAAAGGAAACTATCACAAGCGAGATGAGATTAGTTTCAAAAGAAATTATCTCATGTGAGATAAGATTTTTTCTTTTGAGAGAAAACTACCTCGGGTGTGACAAAATTTGTTTTGTGTTTCAATGGAAACTGTGATAAGTAATATGAAATTTTGCTTCAAGAGAAGCAATCCTAAAGGATACAAGAGATATGTTCTTTTGCGTTGATGGAATCTAATTATTGTTTGGTGATTTGACACTTCGTTTGAGAATATCGGGTTTCTTGACGATATTGTTCCTTTGATATAAGGGCAACTAGTCGTATTAGAAATACTATGTATCTAAAGACAACATTGTTCATTCACGTTAAGGAAATCTGATTCCTGAAGATAATTTGATTTTGGAAACAACATTACTCCTATGTGATGAGGAGATTTGGTCACCTTGGGTGATTTGTTTGATGTCAAATTTGATGTTGACATTGCTCCTTCCCATTGAGGAGGTCTAATATGTAAACGATATTGTTCCTTCATGGTGAGGACGTCTAGTCACATTCGAAAGACTACAGCTGAAGATAACACTATTCTTTTGCTTTAAGAAAGTTTTATTGTCAGGAGATAACTTGATTTTGGAAACGACACTGCTCTTACGTGATGAGGAGATCTGGTCA